CAAAGAAAAATTGGCTTCTGTATTGATACTGAGGCTGGATCTCAGTGTTTTTGTATGTCCAGTTTATAGGAAAAATTTGGGAGGAAGACTGCAATGGGTGTTATTTGCATGTAGCTGTATACATGTATACATTCCCTCATGTCAATGAGGTGCACACAGATCACACAGTTGAGCATTTAAGTAATGTTACAAAATACAAACCCAGGTGGTTTTGGTCAGTACCAAGCCAGGCTGAGTTCTCTCTGTCAGCATAGGGATGAAAGAATCTTTAATGCATTAGCTACTCCTGCACTGTTCAGCTCAATCCCCACCAGTGTTATCTTTTTAGAAGTTTTTCTGACTAAATTGCTTCCTTTGAAGACTGCAGGCTTTTTAACAGCACACTGCGGCACCCGCTGCTTGCTGAAAATCCTGAGGCCAGCACACCAGAGCATTGCGCTGCCAAACATGCCAGTCACAAAACATCACCTTTAGTGGGTTTTAACTGGAGGTAGCTGATGAAAAATAGAATGGACATGTTGTAAGAGCTGTCAGGCCAAGCAGAAGAAGATAGCTTTGAAGAAAGCCTCAAAGATAGTATTTCCAGAATACAGTCCTTTAGAAGAAGTGGAAAACCAAAGGATGAAATACAGTCAGAACGAGCTCACTGCAGGTGGTGGTGGTCATGATTTTTTAAAGATCAATTTTAATTATCAACTACTTTAATCATTATTTTTTTATCCTAGCATTAAGATACCTTTTCCTTCAGCCCCCCACACTTCTATGTCCCTGGAGGCATTCCCACACCACTTTTTCCACCTCAGGAGGCTGGCGTTACACAGCAGAGAGAACTTTATCAGCCTGACCTGCGGATGGGGTGCTGGAAGTCTTTTGCCCCTGCTAGGACTCGAGCCACCGCTTTCCCAGCAGCCAGCCTGCTGGGGTTCACAGCGAGCACCCATGTTTTGCCAGAGGTTCCCTGGACCCTCCTGTTAGCCTGAAGAAGGTCCCGAGGCCTTCCTGCCATGAGCAGGTGTCACAAAATGGCTGCCTTCTGCCACCACGGCTCAGAGCAGGTGCGAGGCTGCTGCTGGGAGCCCCTGGTGTCACCGCACACCAGTGTGTTCAGCTCAGCCTGCGGGGACCTCTGTCATCTGCCACTGGCACAGATTAAACAGAAGCAACAGCAGGGGAGAAGCTGTTAAATTAAAGCCAAAGAGTAACGAGAGAGATGTTTGCTTTGTGAGATAGCGCGCACCTGTTCTGCGTTCTGAGCACTCTCTGAGGCCTGCTCTCCTTCCTTACCACAGCTGGCCTTCATGAAAGGCCGTGCAGCTCCCTGTTCTCTGCCAGGCCCAGGCATTTCCCTCAGCCTTGCCTTGCAGCCAGGCCCTGAGTTGGGCTGCAGGCTGGGGAGGAATCCCAACCAGTCCCTGCAGTGAGTCCACTTCACAGGCCGCCTTGTGTCTGTCCTGACACCAGTCCTGAGGATGTCTGCCTCATGGCTCTGTTAAGTGGTACCAAGTGATGGCAGCTAGAAAGGCTCTCCGGGAGAAAATCAGCTCTGGAGGCAGCATTTTGTGTCTTGCATGCAGGGTTTTATAGGATTACCTTTGTACCAGACCCACCATACGGTTCCCTCGCTGGAGAGGCCAACGTAGCTTATCTGTGGGATGAAAACATTACCACCATATTTCTATCACACAGGTGGCTGGCATAAAAAATCTTCACACGCATTCATGTCATCGCAGTTCTGGCAAGCCTGCAAGACAGGCTGTTTCTCAGTGAGTTCTGTCTCTCCCTTCATGCTGCCTTCATTCCCAGTGTTTGCTCTCAGTTTGGGCAGTGCATTTCCCTCCCACACCCCGCAGGTGTGCATGCACTGGGGAACAGCCCCCAGTACCTCTGCAGTGCTCCAGGCGATGCCTTCATGCCCACAGCTCAGCAGCTCCTGCTGGCAGCAGTGCCCACCCATGGAAGGCATGCTCGCATTCTGAAAGCTACTGCCCCACTATTTGCACATGAGCTTAATAACTGACTTAAGAGATCTACAGATGCATTTCTTGGGCTGTTCCTGTTATATTTTTCTCTCTTGGCCTCAAGGCTCTTGTTTTCTGTAATTTCCTTTCTAAACTTCTCTGTAACCCTAATCTCTTTTAACATGAGCATGTTAGTTTTGAAGCAGCCTGCATGTTTCCAGCCTCTCCTCCTTTACCTGGTGATTATTTCTTTTTCACCGTCCTCTCCCTACTTGTGTCGTTTGCAAAAACCTGCCTGTCCCCTCCCTCTCCCTCTTCACAGCTCCCACCATCTGTCTCTCTACAAACACAAAGCTGTAGGGGAAATGATTCACTCGGCTGCGAGCTCATTACTCACTCTCTCCCCATCATGGTTTCTGTCCTTGTAGGACGCTCTAACTAATGTAAAGATCAATGGATCCTGGGAACTGTTATTCAATTAAACAAAAAAAAATGCCCCAGCAGTTAAATATATGGAGCTCTTTGTACTTCCTCAACACCGATTCTTTATTTTTCTCCCTCATTCTGCTATCATTGTTTTTCAGACGGGGATCATTGAAACAGAAGAATGGAAATGGTCGCTGGAGCATTTAGTGCAACCTTGTGTATCACATGATGCAGGAATTACTTAATGAAATTCCCTGGCCCAAACCAAGCAAATCTGTGGTAAATCTAGAGCACATATTTTAGGATGACAGCCAGAATGATGAAAGGAATTTACTACCCAGCCTTGCTAATCATTCTGAATGCTTAACTGCTCTCCCTAATATGCGGCTTTGTATGCAGCAAAACAAACACAGCCTCATTTCCTGCAGCTTTCTCCCCTCCCTTGCCCACACTGCGCACTCTGAAAGCCCCCTCCGAGCTGTGGCTGGGGCTGGTTGGTGAGGGGGGCACAGGGCTGAGCTTGCATTCCTGCTGGCTCTGGCAGGCCAGCACAGCACCTTCAGGACTAGGTGGAGGCCCACATCACACACTGCCTCTCCTCCAGGCCAGACTTGGGGATCTCCAGTACTGGATGTTGTGTTGAGGGACATGGTTTAGTAGGAGCTATTGGGAATAGGTGAACGGTTGGACTGGGTGATCTTTTAGGTCTTTTCCAACCTTGGTGATTCTATGATTCTATGATTCTACTCGCTATGTCCTTGAAACCTGTAGGCACAAAGTACATCGTGGGGGCCAACGTGGAAGGAATTGGATTTTGAGATGAGAAGCTGTTCAAGACAGGCTAATCCATAGATGCTTTCTATGGATTAGCTTTCTACCAAACTAGAAATGGGAATACAAAGTATGTATTTTTGTCCTTTCAGCTTCTAGCTATTAGATCTAGTTTATATTTGCAGAGGGTAGCAAGACTCATCGTCATTCCATACTGAACGTGCGTGCCCTTGAGTTTATTTCCTGCTGGAGCTTCCCTGGCCCAGTTGGTTCAACTTCTTCTGCCATGGTCTTGTTGCCAAATGACATTCTGCATTTCCAACCTCTAGTCCTTTACCCTGTCCTCCCCCAAACACATTCCTACAAAATGTATGTTTTGAGTCCCGAAATTATTTTTGAGTGTTAAAATACTTTAGATGTTAAAGTACCTGAGACAGCCATACAGTAGTGGCAGATAAGCAGCAGCACTTCAAGAATGTTGCATTGTCTAGAACAGCACTTGGAATCTGAGCATAAAATTGTGCAGCACTCTGAGTGACCCTAAATGCCAATGTTTAGATAACCAAGTCCCCCTCCTCCCCCTCCCTCTGTATTCACTTTGTTGACCTTTTAAGAAGGATTTCTGTCATAGTTTTAGAAAGTTATTTTCTTAATTGGAAACTTAGCTTTTCATTTTATCACATGGAAAAAATGGGATACCCCACTCTCCCATATGTAGATAGCAAGAAGTGCTGCTGCATAATAGAAGTTCATTGTGCCTTGTCAGGAAACTGCCAGCATGCTAGGTATGAGTGTCTTTCAGTTGCTGGGCTATGGGATTTCTCTCTAGAAACTGGGGAGAAGCACAGCAAATACCACAATGAAAATAATAAGATCTGACAACACTGGATCCACCCTTCTCCTAGTTCTCTTAGGCAGCTGTAACTCTTTACGCAAAAGGAAAATCCATGAGGGTATCTGCAACAGTGCTGTAATTGTTCCTCATGAGCACCATGAAGCACATCCTGTATTGACATACCACACTAGCACGATCTTCATGGAAAGCTAATTAAATATTTTGGGCAATTTAACAGGAGTATCAGCTTCTGGTTAATTTACTTTTTGGAGAACTAAACACATTTACTTTGTCATGAAGCTGTATTTGGGCCACTCGGTAACAAACAATAAAGTGGATCTTGGAAAGAGCCTGTATTGCACAGGCATGGAGTGCTCTGCACCAGAGCAGGAGGTTCTTGTATGCCTATTCTAACAATAACGGCTGCGGGATTTCAAGCCAACAGGGTCCACTGTTATCTCAGCAAGGTTAAAGCAGTTAAGAGAAGAACCCTCACCAAAGTAGTGCTTATGTTCTCTGTGAAAACACGCTCAGACGTTAGCAGATGTGAAGTTGCTGAGCCTTCTCGGTTGCCAGCACCCCACAGCTCTCCAACATCTTTGATTATTTTATTGTTCCGTACTGCATACAAGTTGTAGGAGTCAATGTTATTTCTCTTAACAACCGCTGGTTTCCAAATGGCAATTGTTCTTTGACATGATCTGTTTCAAATAAGGGATGAAGAGCAGTAATGAAGCTAAAGGCCCACTATAAAAGTACTTCAGCATTCCATGGTACTGACTGCACACGCAGTAATACATTTAGCTGTCCTTTTGTGGACTGTTGCTGCAACATGCTGAAGGTGTTAGGGACTGTGCTGTGAGGAAATGGAACTCCAGAGGCTTCAGATCCAAGAGTCCTCTAATTGAAGACTGTGTCTCTGTGCAAGACAGTCTAAGTAAAACTTGCATTACTCAAACAGTTACCATTCCTTGTCGTTCCCAGCAATAGTAAAAACTTGATGCAACATATAAAATAGCCTTACAAAAGGCAAATATATTTAATAGTGCATTTACAAATTAACTGTCCGATAATGCTGTACAAGACAGGGACATCTATAAAGAGTACCTGAGCAAAAAGGAGGATGTAATTTTTATTTTACATTATTGCAACATTATTTCTAGTATTTGTTTGCTGTATCGACTAGTAAAGGGATATGTTAAAAACAGATGTTAAGATAAAGTTGGGCATTCGTTCCATTTGCAGCTTTTTTAAAAACCTAGGAGAGAAGAGTTCTGCCCCATCAGTTTCAGAAATAGATGTTTAACGTGGTGGAGAACAAGCTGAGCCTGAGCTACCCAAGATAACCAATTCCTTAAGCAGAAGCAGTGTCTTCTGTCATCAGAAAGAGCCATCTGGAAGAGTGCTGGCTCCCTGCCAAAAGCAACCCTTTAACAACTGCTTCTCGTGCACTTTAAGAGACAATGTTCATAATGGCACAACCTGGAGCGTTGGTAAAGGTCCTATTGGAGGAGCAACATATTCCTCCTCTCTCAGTAGCCGCAGGAGGATGTTCTTCTTGTTCTTTGGCCAGGTATAAATGTGAGTGTTCTGCAACCAGGTAGGCACGTGCTCCTGAAAAACAAGAAAAAAGTGAAATCCCATAAGCCCTCCTGAATCTGTACCAGAATTTTGCAGATTCCATTACACTCTGCCAAGCAAGATTTCATTCTGTCTGTTCTAGACACTTTCTGTAACAACAAGAAATTTTAATTTGGCTTCAGAATTGTATTTGGGTTCCTAAATAAATGAACTCCGTACGATCTCACAGCTTGCCTGTCTCTCTTTCCTTACTGCCATCACGTTGGCTGATTTCACCATATTTCAAAGGGATTCTGATCTCAATGACAGGCTTCAAAGGGCTTCTGAAAATAAACACTGAGGAGAGAAGGGCACATTTAGATGCCCCTACCAGGCTGCAGCCCATGTTTCTCCCTTAGCTGCCGAGGATCCACATTCTGTTCAACCCTAAGAATCCACAGGAAAGCTCCTCTCATCCCAGTGGCTTTCTTGAGTGCTGTCCCCTTGTGCTGCTTTGCCAAGCTGCGTGTCCTCTGGCCACTTCCTGAGTCCAGTGCTGAGTGTGAGGGGAGGCTAACACATCTCCACATGAGCAGGGCCAACCTCCCCACTCCCAGCATGTCACATGGGCTGGCCAGTGCCTGTTAGCATCATGGAGCTGGGATCACCATGGCCCCACATGGTGGTGGTGAGCTGAGGGAGAGTGGCAAGCTCAGCCTCCACGTTCTTGTGTCTTTATAGCCTGGGAGGTTTCCATACATACATGTGGGTGTGGAGGTGAGGAGGGCTGTATTCTTATCCCTAATTAAAAGAGGGTCACGCGCCGACCCTTTACCAAAACCAACTCATGCCCACTGTGGTGATAAACATTTATTTCAGGAGAGCCCTTGCTGGAGGCACCAGCAGGAAGCCAGAGCAAGCAAGAAGGTAAGGTTGGTTTACTGCAGGAGAGTTGGACCAGATGACCTTTAAAGGTCCCTACCAATTGTAAGGATTCTATCATTCTGTGATTCCAAGGTAAGCAACCAGCAGTGAAGGCATCTAGCACTTGCTCTCGGGACCCACTATTTAGCAGGGCAGCATGTTCCCAAGCTGTGATAAAATACAGCACAGGTTTACCGAATGAGACCTCTACCTGCCTTTGATGAGAAACTACATTTTTTGGAGGAAGGAAATGACCCAGTCCATCTGGACTTCAGCAAAGCATGTGATGTAAGTCCACATGGGAAATCACTAATTAAGCTTGGAAAGATGGAAATTAGTGTGAGAAATGGATGGTAAGTAAGAAGCTGGCAAGTGGGGACATAACAACAGAGGCACTCTATGCCCAGAGACGGGCTGCAGGCTGTCTGCCAGAGCTGGTCCTGCAGCCAATTGCATTGAGTGTCTTCCATAGTGGAGTTGGTACAATAAGCACTGGCACTCATCAACCCAGGCAGTAATTTTAACATGTAGGAGGTGTGCAGGGGAGGTGTGTTATTTGGGTCCAGAAAGAGTGTAGAAAATTAGAAAGGGACTCTGTCAAGCTGTGGCTCTTCCCTCAGCATGTGACAGCAGCTGTTGTACCAGATCAGAGAGTAATGGGAAAAGGGTTATTGCCTTGCTTTAAATTCAGATCTGTATCTGTTAGCAGAGAGGAAATTCTGAACACTGCAGAAAGAGTGTTTGATAACTTTATGGATCAGTGTAACAGGAACAGGATAGAGCGTGTCAGTGCCAAGGGTAGGGTCGTCCAATTCAGGGCTGTGTTGTGGAGCCTGCTTTGAGCCATGCCTCAGAGCAGCTCTGCTCACAGCTCTGCTCACAGCTCTGCCAGCAGCAGTCATCCTGGGCACTTGCAGCTGAGTGCAACAGGCAGTGCTGAGAAAACCAGGAAGGGACATTTGTGTTGGTTGGCTTGATGCAAGACCAGGTTTCCTCTATCAGTGTGTGACGGGAAGCTGGAAATGCCAGTTCCACCTTAACTGTGTGTCACGTTTTTTCCCCTCATTATTCAATTTCCTGATGAACATTCTTTGGCTCACACAGATCCTTTCCCGTTGGAGGTCGGCTAGCCTTCACATACCATCAGTGCTTTATGATGTACTTCAGATGAGATTAACTCAGCTAGTATCCACGTCCCCAAATGAAACCTCCCAAACTGCTTCTCTGCTCTTTCCCACTGCCAGCTACAATGGTACTTGAACACAAAGAGAAAAAGGGAGGGCAGAAAAGACAAAATGAATCATCTGATTCTATATATATATGTGGCATTTTTCACCCCTGGAATGGTGCAGGTTTTACAAACATTTGATACCTAACCTCTGGATGCCTGTGTTACTGCAGTGTGTCCAAGCCCGCGGGGCTGCTGTGCCCACCACCTTGCTGTTCTCAGTCATGTTTCCACTAACCAGTGAGATGGGAGGCAGAGGTTCACCAAAGATGAGCATGAGCAAGGAGACCAAGCCTGAACAGCAACAGAAAATGCTGCTCTACATAATTCAGCTGAGACAGGCAGCCCTGGAAAAGCTGAAGGGTGATGTGGAAAAGCTGTGGAGTGATAGGCAAGAAGGCTGCCTGGGAACTGCTACGTTGATAGCAGCAGCTGAATCAACCAGCCTTGGAAATTCCTTGTTCACTATCTGAGAGCTGCTGCTATATGCTAAATAGTTTTTTGACACATAAAGTTCAACCAAAACTAACAAAGTTTATTGTTCTTGTGTCTGCCTTGAGGCCCAAAGAAGGCTCTAGCACCCCGTGTGCCAATTGTCTCTGTGGCTCCAATGTTACTGTGCCAAGTTGCTGCAGGCTGCAGGGTCTGCTCACACAGCAGGCACTCCAGGAGCTCCTGAGGCCAGGAGCAGGCCTGCCCTTTGCCCCCAGGCTGACTGAAAATACCAAACCAGCCACTGCCTTTGGTCTGCTCAGTTCCCACCTGTCCCATTGCTGAGCTTTGCACAGTTAATGCAAGTAACAGACCAGCAATGTTTGTGAAGGAAGTGGAATGACATAAAATACCAGGGGTAACGCTCATTACAAAGAATCTCACAAACTCTTGGACATGTTTTCAAACTTCTGAGCTTATATTACACTGAAATCCACAAGTGCTGTGGGATTTCACAGCCCTACGCTCACTCAATGATAATATTGCAGAAATGTTAGGATACAACTCTGGGCACCCAAATGATTAAAGAGAATCTGAATTCCCTCCTCCAAAATGCAGCTGTACCTAGGGGTAATGTGACAGCTACCTAACAATGCACACAGTATTTAGTGATGAAAAGTGAGCAAGAATATCCATTACAAGTCCGAGGAAGAATGCCATTTCTCAACGATAACTGAAGCCATTTAGCTTTTCTGGCCCTGTAAAAATCCAGCAGGTTCTCTCAGCATGAGGAAGAAGGATAAGGGAACCTACTGCTTTATGAACTTCTTCCTCTCAAATGTATCAGTAAGAAGGCCAACAAAATTTCAAGTCCTAAAAAACCATATTGTTTGCCTTTGATGGGCCCATCAAAGTTCAAGCAATGGCCTAGCACTTTAATATTTATGATCCTCTTTATTTTTATATTCTCAACCCACCCTTTTCCAGATCCTCACTTCACATCAGCCATAAATCTCCCCCCATCCCACTCATCAGCATTACATCTGGATAAAATTATAAAAGGGTTAATACAAAAAGCATGCTTGCTGGATAGATGGTCTCTCTCCATTGAAATTCTTTCAATGCTCGAGACAATTTGAGTTTTAGTTACACATTCATCATCAGAAATACATTTTATGTACTGATTTATATTGCAAATGAAATGCTTTTATTCATGTGTACATAAAACTGTAAACTTCTCATGTAAAATACAGCTGGAATATTACCAGTGGGATATTACGAATCAAGAAAAGAAGGGGTTTTTTTTGTTTGTTTTTAGGGTTTCTTCTGGTGCACTGAGATCAAAATAACATGTGTCTAATGATCTGAAAAAAAGAAAATATATATATATATGTATGTATGTTACCTTTTTGGCATTTGGGAAAAGCACAGGGATGAATCTGAAGTTCATGCTCCCTTGTTGTATGAACTCAATCTGCATCTACAACAGAACAAATTGCCAGATTTACTGTGATGAAGGTTGTGTTGCACTGTCTTTGCATGCAGCTGAATCCTATGCACAAAAACATTCATTGCTTACTTAAACTGCTCTTACGTGATCTGATCTAATGCTGGTGGATTCTGGTATCAGGTTTTTTTTGGCCACTTAATCTGATTCTTCTTTACTACAGGATACAGGAAAGGAAAGAATACAGGAAAGATCTGTCAACATTTGAGCATTTACTTCTGTGGTATGAAATAATTGTGGTTTTAGCTGCAGTTTCAGTCCCATGAAATCCCTCTAGAACCAATAAAGCTTAGCTTTATTATTAAAGCCTTCAGCTTCGCTGTTCACTGTCTGTGTTCAAGCTAGGCCCCAGCCTGTCCCCTGTGTCCCAGTTCCCTGTCTGAGCTGGGGCTTGGCCTGTTCCCATATCCCCAGGACACTGGCAAAATGAGGCACAGACTCCCAGGAGCAGTGAGAAGAGCACAATTCTGCTGCGAATTCATCTGTTGGTGCCAGTTTCTGAGATGCTGAACTGCAGGATTAAACTGGGAGATGGGCCTGGAGTAAGAAAGGAGGGAAACTGCAGACCCAAGGAGAAAGGATGAATTGCTTGGCTCAATTCTGAGCTCTATCCCAATGCAGATTGCTGAGATGATAGGTCCCATGTCCTGCAGCTGTCCCCTACCACCCTGTGTCACCAGGGCCTTCCCTTTGCAGCTCTGACCTTCCTTTGCCTCGCAATCCCACGTTTCAGCCAGCGTTAGTGCTGCCCCAGAGAAGACCCCAGTTACAGGATGGCTGGAGTGATATGAAGTGATAGGGACAGGTTCACAGGGGGGAAGGCCAGGCAGCATTAGATAAGGTTGTGCCCAGGGCTGTATGGCAGGGCAGTGCGGGTTCGAGAAGGTGAAAGAAGAAAAGAACATGGAACAAAAAGGAATATGGAAGAATGAGATGTGCGTGTTTAATAGGATTTTTCTTTCTTGAACCTCTTAGCAGATGTTAATGAGCATACGGAGCTGATGAGAGGGAGGATTAATGAATTCCAAAGGGGGGTGTTTAACTATGGGGATTAGTGAAAACAAAGCAAAGAACCTGCCATTTGGAGACAGATTTGTCTTTTCAGAAGAAGAGAGGGAGTCTTTGTAAAGCAGCAAATGCATGTCCTTGCTTACCATCCTGTGGATGTATTTAGTATGTAAGCCGTGTTCATCCCTGTCCAGCTGGGACTCAGCCCCTTCCACATCCTGTTTGTATTTTGGACTGATTGCTATGATTATCATCACCGTCTTCTGTTAGGGAGAAAAGCACTTTTATGAAATTGGGAAATGCAGTGTGTTTGGTGGAGGCAGATCGGAAATCTGCCAGTTTTGTGTTTTAAGTGATCTTTATGTTCTTGGCGAACGTGAGAGGATCTCATTCATTCTGGCAGGAAATGCAGGAGAACTCAGACACTCGTTCTCCTCTTTATTTCTTGAGACCGCATAATATAGAAAAACCAAATGGCAGGAGATATATTAGCAGCTTCCAGCTTCCAGTTGGAATCCTGTAATAAAAAGCTCCTTTTTATCAGCGCAGAGTGCGTATGTACATACACAGGAAAGTTATCTTCTAATGTTTTCCAACAGCTCATGTAAAAGTGCATCTTTTTAACCATGGCTTTCTGTAAATAAAGACACTGAAGGCAGCTGTCTGTGGAAACTGCACCTGGGCCTTCAGTAACAGGAACAGGAACTCTTCTTGCCTGTCCCTCAGTGGTGAGGTGTGCAGAGCTGGGCTGTGGCCTGCACAGGCTTAGGGGTACCTGGCAGCACCATCCCTCCGTGCTGTGAGCCGAAAGCAGTGCTCCTCGCCTGTGCTGCGACCTGTTCAGTCCCAGGCCCCCACTGATCTCAAGTTTCCACTGAGGGTCTGTCCTTCCTATCTGGGAAATCTCTCTCTTCCCTAATGGTGGGCCAGTGAAGAGGTTCAGCAGATGAAAGCCTCCTACTTTTGTTTACCTAGGGCCTGTCTTTTATCCCAGCCACATCAGGCTTTGTAAGGTTTCCAAGTATGCAGCTCCCAGTCAGCCTGGCACCTAATTAACTCTTTCCTTCTGTGCAATATCAAGGGAATTTGCCCCACCACAGGGTCAAAAACAGTAAAGAGCCATTATCCCTCATACTGACTTAACGTACTCCAGAATTACTTTTGCTTCTGCCTGACGTGCATGTAAGCACTTACAGATGTTGAGGGTTTGCGGAGACATTCCCGGGTGCACACACCCCCTGCTTGTGCCCTAACAGTCCTTCCTTGCTTGTGTGTGTGAAGGTTTAGAAGCTGGAAACTGCCTCTACAGTCAGAGCAGGAAAACAGACATCCCTGGGGTGGGGTGTGTGGGGGGGGGGGGGTTGAGGGAGGCAGCCAGAGGAGGAGGAACCATACATGGCAGGGGGAATTGCTCTCTGTGCATCCCAGTTTCTCCTACTGACTGTGCAGGAGTCCCATGGGAATTCTGCCAGTTTGTTTTTTAAGTGTTAACGATGTTCTTGGCAAAACCAAATTCACTGTGGTGTCTAGTTTCAATACCTCAATTATACATGGTGAGTTCGTGCCTAATCTGTCCTGGCAATGATCCCAAAATGCATGGCTGCATTGCCACAGCAGAGGCCCCAGGCTGGCTGTGCACGCAGTAGGCACCATGCCTGCATGGTAATGTATTTGAGCTAAGGTGTTCTGCTGGAACTCCTAAAGAGAAACAGCGCTGGGCTGGGAAGATTGAGTGTCTCTGCTCAGGCTGGGGAGAACCTAGCACTTTGTCGTCTTGTTCCCAGGCCAGGGAGAACTGCCTGGAGTGAGTTAAAGGCCTGGTGGCTTCCCAGCAATGGATGAACGAAAGGAAGCCGCATATATTGTGACATCAAGTCACAAAACAAGTGATTTGTGTCCAGCTTTCTTGTGTTTCTGGAGTACTGTGTCCAGGTCTGGAGCCTCCAGTACAAGAAAGACAGGGAACTGTTGGAGAGGGTCCAGAGGAGAGACACAAAGATGATCAGGGGACTGGAGCACCTCTCCTATGAAGACAGGCTGAGGGAGCTGCGCTTGTTCAGCCTGGAGAAAAGAAGGCTGCAGGGTGACCTCATTGCAGCCTTTCAGTACCTAAAGGGAGCCTACAAACAGGAGGGGAATCAACTCTTTGAAAGGGTTGGTAACTGCAGGACAAGGGGAAATGGTTTTAAGTTGAGGGAAAGAAGATTTAGGTTGATGTCAGGATGTTCCTTACTATGAGAGTGGTGAGGTGCTGGAACAGGCTGCCCAGAGAGGTTGTGGATGCCTTGAGGTGTTCAAGGCCAGGTTGGATGGGGCCCTGGGCAGCCTGGTCTAGCATTAAATGGGGAGGTTGGTGGCCCTGCATGTGGCAGGGGGGTTGGAGATTCGTTATCCTTGAGGTCCCTTCCAACCCTGGCCATTCTGTGATTCTGTGTGATTCAGCTGTGCTGGTGTAGTGGGCCTACCTGGCTTGATCCTAAAGGAGAGATGTGCACTTGCTGCACCTCTGAACTTCCAAAGCTGCTGTGAGGGACTGTGCTGGCAACAATGTAAATTTTATTGCTTACATTGACACGAAATGATGAGAGCAAAACTATCATTTGACTAACAGAATACCAATGTCCAGTTTACATATAAGATGGTTGATTCAGAAGAACCCTCCCACGTTTTAGATAACAGAAGCTACAGGTGAGAAGCGGCATGAACATTAGCCATACTGTGCAGCCTGGGATGAAATACAGAAACGATTTTAACCATGCATGGGTGAAACACTATTTAAATATGAGACAGAGGAACAATTTATCCAATAGCAGCTTCAGTATAACAGCCAGCACTGGAATTTGATAGGAATGCCAGGATTAGCACTTAATTTCTTAAAGACAAAGCTTTGGGACCATGAGAAGCAGAAGTGAGTGAGATCTGCTTATGCCCTCAATCACAGGCCTCCATCATTTCAGTAAGAGCAGGGAAGGGCAGAGTGGGATTTTGCATTTTAATTCAGCTCCTGCTACTATTACAATAATTCAACCATTTTCCTCGGGTCATCTCAGCTGTCAACAAGGTTGAATTGCTGTTACATACATCACCTAGGTAGCGTTCCATCCACTTTATGATGTCAATACCTCGTACTGTGTCCTCAAATATATCGATCTGCAAGAGAATGAAAGTCTGTGGTGAGCATTCTTTTGCTTTTCCTCCCCATTTGGTGGCACTGAAAAAGTTCCCAGGTGCCTGTTTCTTCCCCTAGTTTCCAAAAGCCATGCCTACTTTCCTTAGGAAAGAAACATCACATGCATACAAATGCACACATGCACACATGCATGTACAACATCTCCCCTTTTCTGTGCAGTCCACAACTGCGCAAGCCCCCCTATTCTCAACACTTTTGCATACTGGAACAAGCAATAACCTCGGTTGGTATACATTAGATATTGAAAATGTATGAACTAGATTTTTTTTTTCCTCTCTGTAAATATCTCACGAAAGTGGACAGCTTCCCACCTTCTCTTATCTGCATAGTTGCAAAGCTCCACTATTTTTTGGCTGCAAGGATATATACTGTCAAGTTTTAACTTCATACTGCATTACATTTTCAGAATGTGTGGAGGGAAGTCAGCCAGGTCACTGACACTGAAGCAGGAATCCAGGCTTTAGGCTGAGCAGAGAGATGGAGGACTTCCTAGCACTGAATATGACCATCACTGCTCTCTTCCCTGAACACTCAGCCCAGAAACTGGAAGTCAATGACTGTGACCAATGGAGTGATTATTAACTTCTCCAAGCTTGTGACAGAAGAATTATGTTCCACTTCAAGGGTGGGTTTTTCTTCCCGACATATTTGTTTCCTGGCTTTGGGGCCATTTTGCTGTATTTATTTTTCTGTAGCATGCACCAAGAACTGCCTGTCCAATAGGGGTGCTATTAATGAGCCTTCTGCCCCATACCTCCACGATGCCCAGAGCTTTCTTATGAATTGGCTGTAGTACAAAACTGCTGGAGAGAAATACAATTTCAGTCTCCGGAAAAATTCTTTGATTCACAAAAATAAATAAGCATGGGCAAAACCCCCACTGAGTTTCATTCAGTTTAATGATAGCCACTTGCTTAAACGCTTTCCTGAATTGAAGCCAGAGTGAAGGTTGAGGGGTCAGATAGCATATGTGCTTGAAATAGGAAAATATGAATCAACATTTTGATGAATGCCGAATATGAGAGCCTCTACGGGATCTCTCCTTTGAGGGGGTAGTTATGAAGAAGCAAACTCATGAGAGGTTAAATGAAAATCTGGACCGTTTATGGGATCAGACAGTAGGACACAGATCTTTTCAGGCAGTGATTTTTGAATCCCTTTTAGAAGTCTAACAAAGCAAAGAAACCACGAGATGGACTGTTTCATTAAGCCGTGTGAAATACACCAATTTAAGACCTGTTTTCAGAGGAAAGGTATTCACATCTGAAGAACCAATGATGTAATAGCATCTCAGAAAAGACACTAGGATGGGATGAACGTGAAAACTGACCTTTTTTAATATTGGTATTTCAGATCAAATATGAGACAATGTTAATGAAATAGCTCACAAAAAGACCTCCTGTTATTGCCCATCTGGTGTCACTAAATGGAATTTTCCAGGGTCATTATTAAAAGACATTTCAAAGTATAGAATTCAGTTAAAACACGAACAAATGAAATGGCAAATCACTGTTACAACTTATGGCCAGCTCCTTCCATTTGCGGCCTCCTTAATCTGCAAAATACAATGATAAACAGAAAAGCATTTAAATGGAACATGTGTGCCCTCTGCTTTTTTAAAAAATGCCTCTTTTCTTCCCTGGTCGACTGTCATTTTCTCTGGAGGGTATACTTACAGCAGTTTGAAATCCATTTACAAGCAGGAAGTTCACAAATTTCATGACCTCCACCGCTGTGTCCACGGAATAGGTTATAAAGACCTTGCCTAAGAGAGAATCCATATGAACATGCAGCGCATTAAAATACACCATGGAAAGAGTGAGACTTTCACAGCCTTTCTTTCCCACTGTGCTGTGGGTTCTGCCTACATATGTGTCTGCAGATTATTTACAAAACAAATGCACAAACCAAGTGTTTTTTTCCCCAGCTCTTTCACGTTCGTGAAGTTGAGCTCTATCTCACAGCTCGTGCTATCCAGCTGCGACCTACAGCTGAGAGCTGGAGGAGCCCCCCACATGTTGCCCAGCCTCTCCTCACAGCAGCATCAGCTCCTGTGTAGGACAGGCCAGAAAGCCGAGGACAGCAATGTCTTCAACTACCTTTGCCAACAGTGAAGGAGTCTTCTTACTAATTCAAGAGCCATGTACTCCCTGGTCGAGGTACACCAGCCAGCTAATGATGCCATTTTGTTGAGTAATGCCTTTACCTGGGGACTCTGACTGATAAACTGCAACTTACACATGACTGGAAACTTGTCACAACTCACTCCTTCAGGCCAGAAAGATGCAGTGTGGGTCTTTGAAAGGGGCTTTTTTGCATAGTTTATTGAGGAAAAAAAGAAATTGAATAAAGGAAAAACAGAGGTCTCTGCAGGGCTATGAGGGGATGTTAGTTATGGTATATCCCACTGGTCATCCAGCACAGCATTAAGGAAGCCAGCTCTTCTGAGACCTGGCTTTCCTACAAGAGTTGGAGAGCAGAAGGGTTTGGAGGGCTGGAAGCAGAGACGGCACCTCAGCAGGAGCTTGTGCAGACACTGCTGTGCGCTCCTGACCCAAAGCCCTCTCCTCTAACCAGGTCAGGGAGAAACTGAGGTCAAGACTTGGCATTTTTGTCTGGTTTGGGACAGGCAGAAACACTTCATCCCTGGGGCTTTGTTTGTTATTAATCTTTTACTGTAAGTTTCAGTGCCTCCTGCCTCAAAGGGACATTCTGTTTAGCAAGAAGTCATGAGAATAATCTAAACAGTATTTATTTTTTGTAAACAAAATAACAAGCAATTAATGACAATTAAGTTTTCAGGATTCAAGGGAATAATTCCATTCCACCAGACATAAACACTCACACCCTACGGATGCGATGACATCCAGTATTTTCTTTTCTCGCTCTCTTTGTGCCTTAATGTTGTTACCCCCACCTCAACCCCCTGAGTTTTCCCACCTCAAGTTGTCAGGCTGCTCTGTAAGATCTCACACAGCACAAATTTGCTAACCACTTACGCAACTCTTCCGGCAAATTGCTGGTTCTCAGAGTTCCCTTGGCTGCAGGGTTACTGAGAGGTCTTGGGACAGCAGCTGGAGACGGAAAATTGTCAGAAGGACAACAACATGCTTCATCTGGGCCACATGCCTTTTGGGGCAGCTGGCCGTTAGGTAGCTGGTTGTACAACTGGTTTCTGCAAAGAAAAGCAAGCAAGGATATAAATTACTTCTTTTCAGGTATTTTTTTTTTTTAACACACTAAGAACTTTGTGTATTAGCTCAGTAATGTTCTTGAAAACATGCTTGGCACTTCTACTTAGTTATTATAGCATTTTTTTTACATGAGCCCTCAATACCTTGGTGACAGTCTACCATGAGACACAGTTCACTGCCTCTGTTTTTCTTTTGAGCCCAGCTCCCATCTCCCTACCCTTCCCTTTTTCCCTTTCCATTTTTGGGACTAGGGGGCCCACGGGCCTACTGCCCGCCTGACATGGGCATTGATCTAGATAGCTCCGTGACATGCAGAAGCAACACTATTCACAGGAATAAATTTACCTCATAGTTTAGTACTGCTCAGCATGCAACTAACAGAAGCAAAGAATATTTCTGAGCTAGAAATAGTGCTACACATGTTACACACATACTGGAGCAGAACGGCACGTGGAAACGCTCTTCCCATTGTCTAAAGGGCAACTCAGCTGCTTACGGCACAGCTGCTATCTGAATGTCCTGTGCTGCACAGGAGGTATGGCACAAGGAGCAGGAAAATAGACACACAGGGCACTCCAGTTCCAGCTGTGGTACAGCAAGGAGCTGTTCCAGTTTTGGACAAAACTCAAAAGTTTTGCTAAAGGGAAAAAGTTCAACTTCTTGACCAGCAACAGCAGGCCCAACAAAGGTTTCTCATGTTGGGAATTTGTGTTCTGGAACCATAGCAATCTTGCCTAATATCTGCTCTACTTGAACAAATACACAGAAAGAAAACGATTTTAGGAAGCTTAGCAGTTCTTGTATCACTACGCTTTGGGTTCACAGGTCAAGTCAACAGAAAGGAGAATTCACGCCTATTTTTACATGAGGTGTAGTTTGAATCTGCTGGACTGCATCTGTTGGATGAGTGTTAGGTTTCTCTGAGGGCTTTTCCCCACAGAGCAGTGATATTTAGTCAATCAAGCCCACTCTCTTTTATTTCCTTGCCTTCCTTAAATGAATGATGACAGTCTGGTCACAGCATGTTTTCTGTTGTCACATTAAGATCTGGTTTACTCATTTTGGTACAGATGTTTTCTGTTACAAAATGCTCTATAGGCAAATATTACCATCACATAACTGCTGTTCCTGGAACCAGCATGCAAACACCAGCAGCACAGCCACAGGATAGGCCCCAGGTATTCTGGATTTCTTTTTGCAGAAGCACCAAGAAAAGCAACACGTACCTCATCATAAGCCACAAAAACTACCCTGTGGCTGATTTCCAGATCCTCCCCAAACTTCTCCTTACCTAACAAATATGCCAAAAACTAAGAGTCTGATTATAAATTTCACTAATGCAAAGGATATCTGCTGTACCTCAAAGTTGCTATGTTTTCATTCAAACACTTTATAGCAATTATCTCTACTGTTGCTGCAGCCCCCTGCTTTTCACAGGCCAGAGCAGTGCAGTATTTCAGCTGTCTGTCTTGTTTAGTTTTTCCCGTTCTCTCACTTTTCTATGAAGAGAAAACCATGTATGTGGACATTTGCTCTTTACAACTGTCTGAAAGAAGGTTGTGGCGAGGTAGAGGTTTTCTACCTCTACCTCTACCCCAGGTAACAGTGAAAGGATAAGAGGTAATGGCCTTAGGTTGCACCAGGGGAGGTTCAGGTTGGATATTAGGAAAAATTTCTTCTCAGAAAGAGTGGTGAGGTAGTGGCACAGGCTGGCAGGGAGGTGGTGGAGTCACCGTCCCTGGAGGTGTTCAAGAAAAAGGTACATGTGGTGGTTGGACTAGATGACTTTAGAAGTCTTTTTTAACCTTAATGATTTTATTGTTCTATGATTTTCAAACATGGACGCCTGCAAGTTTAACACCTTTAAAGTACTTTGGCATTTACATAAAAATGGTCTGCTTTCAGATGTGCCAATATCAGTTTTACTTCAGCAGCTGAATTTGGAGAAAACCCTTCACAGGTAATGCTTGTTAAAGGTGCACTTAAAATGGGAGGGAGACTAGAAGCATGGGAAATTAATATTTGAAAAATAGTCAAAAAGTCCCAGCTGAGAAGTGCTAGATATGATGTGTTTTATTACTACATGAGAAATCGTGGAAAATGCTGCAAAATGCAATGGAGAGATACCAGTGTCAGACAAGATTTTCTCCATTTTTCTCTACACTACAGAAGCGATAAGAAGGAAACTGCTGACAGCCAGTGACTGAGGCTCCCAGGCTGGCACACCAAAGAGCTGAAGTCTGCAGTGAGCCTCCAAACTGACCTTTGCTTTCAAGCAGGAGAGCTCTAAAGTTTCAATTGAAGTATTTTCAGCCCCTCATCTCTTAACCTTCAAGCATTTATCTTCCCTTACTGTGTGTGTTTCTGGGTGCGCTGTGACAACATATCAGGTAACTGCCTTTGAAGTCCTGCAGGGTAAGGTCAGGCCCCTGCTGCGTGTGAAGTAGCAAATAAAGGAAACTATCCAGCATCTCGCATGCACCCCTCAGCCCTGGCACGCTAAAGTTACAAGGCTTCAGAATTACAGTACAAAGCCCACAGAATCAGATTAGAGGAGCTCTGAATGCGCACAGCCCCCAAGGCATACTCACGGGAATCGAGGAGGACCAGGGGAGGAGCACAGCCTCTGGAGAGGTCGCTCGGCGGTGCCCTTGGGAGCACGAAGGTTGGAGTAATTGGGGATGACTTGCTGGGCTGGGCGGATAACTCTCATGCAGGGTCCAGGAACAGGAGGGAGCGGTTGCGATGTGTGGGCAAAATGCTGGTAAGCAGCTCTGCCATCTGGGAAGGTGAGAAAATAAAGGCAGCAACTATCATTTCAGCCAACACATTTTTGCTTCAGTTTGTGTTTAGTCCTTTCCAGGCACATCCTCCTTCATTTCTAGGGAAATGGAGCAGGTTGGAGGCATTTGTAGGAATCTCAGACTGAAAGAGGTCACTTACAGTCTGAAGTTACCCCACCTGACACAGTCCAGGTCCCGGCTGCGGGTTGTGCTATTGGGACAACCGACAGTTAAACATTGAGGGCTGCTTCATCCCTGCACGTAAAATGGCTCAGTGGTTTTGGTGGTTTGTTTTTTTTTTTTTTAATTTCTCTCTGGCAATGACTGGAGAAAATGAATCATCCGAACACTCTCATGGAAGCAGATGCAAAATCCTGGAACAAATCAGTTTGTAACAGTAAGGCTAAACAGACTGTGATTATTGTAAATGAAAAGAGAAAAAATAATCTCTGCGTTTGTTATTCCACTTGGTATGAATGTTCTGCCTCGCTGACCTTTTAAGGTCCTGCTGTTGGTCCGGTTGCCATCTAGGAGGCTGCAGGGAAACCCAAAGTAACAATTTTGCTCAAGTAATTCTGAAAAATCTCACTGTTGCTGGCCATGTACACGTAATGCTTTTAATAACTAGCATCCAGTGGAACCGTTGGCATAAATTGAAAGAGAAAGCAATGTAAGCTGTTTGTTTCCCAAATGGGGAAAACTACTTTTTTCAGTCTTTCTGCTTGCAGTTTTCATTAGGCAGCAGCTCTGCACACTTTCAAGCTGCTGTGCACAGATCAAAGTCCAGCCTGGCAGGGCTTATTAGCACTGCATGATTATGGTGTTATGAGTTGGCTCTGAAAGCTGCAATGCTCAAACGCTATTTTTTTTCTCCTTTAGATTGTTTTTTTTTTAATCCCTTTAGCTATTTTGGTGTCATGCTTTTCTTTTCCTAGCAGCCATGAGGACTAATTTTTTTTAAAAATGAAGAGGAAAAAAGAAAACAAAGCTTTAATGAAACCACACAGCTCCAGAAGCCAGCACTTTAAAACCAACTAACCAACCCCCCAATTACAAAGAGATTTCTGATGAAACTGTGAGTCGGCAACATCTTATTTGTTGGATTCTTTTAGGAGATTTTCCTGTCCCTTTCTTTACATTCTAACAGGACAGGGCAAAAGAGGCTGGAAGAACGAAAAATGAAAGTAAGTAGGATCTGCTCAAAGATTCCTCCTGAGCAGTTCCAGGAAAGCTGGCAGGGCTCGTGGAGTTTCAGTGTGGTTTACAGGTTTTTAGGTTGGTGCAAGTTTCACCAGTGCCCTCTGGACATGTTTGACACTGTAGTGCTGTACTGGCTGCCAGCACTGCTGTTCAGAGGCACAGCACGGTCAGGCACACACAGCTTTCATATACGAATAACTGAACAAATGGTCCCTGGCTACACAGCATTGCTGCGAGGATTTCTTTGCCTTCAGAGGTAGTTTTGCTGCTGTATCCCCAATAGCAGGTGTCCAGAACCAGTTCAGAGCCTACAGGCACAATCCATGCTATCGACGCAGCCTGGGAGAGGCGTGTTGCAACACACAAACTGCGCGGCTTTGTTGTGGGCTGCCCCTGCCCAGCAATTATCTGCAACACAAGGAGCTGTCAGGAGGTGATTTATGCCGTACCAGGCAAGTGAGAAACAGGCGTGCAGTTGCCAGCTTCTTGGTCCTGACCAAATCTGCTCCAGCCATCTGAGTTTATTTTATTCTTTTTGCCCTCTGGATATGGTTGAAACACCAGTGATTTTTCTAAAGAAAGCCCTTCAGAGCTCCTGCTTTGAAACAAATGACCTCATTCAGTAAATCTCCTTCTTCTCACGATGCCCACATGTGGAGGAGGTAAACAGTGAGAGGTATTGTGCAACCAGCTCCTCTTCTGCTCAAAGCTAAACTGAAGTTAGAAGGTACAGGCAGAAAAACAGAGGCTCTTCTGCAAATGTTCAGCTGTAGTTGCTGATAAAAGTCCATCTGTAGCCCCTTCCCCACTGCAAAGTGCCGAGACCAGAGGTGAAAACTGCAGCTCTGATACTCCAAGTCTCGTGTACCTAATTACAGTGCATTACTGGAATGAGAAAACTCTTTAAAAAGATGTAATATAAATGCTGTGGAGTCAACAGAAGGTTAAGAAAGAAGGGTTATCAGCCACAGGCCTACAGCTTTTTATTACAAAGCGAGCCCCAAACTGGTTGAGGTCTCCCAAGCCTAATGTAATATAAATTGTATGAAAACAATGATATTGCTGTTGGATGTTCAAAGCTCACTTCATAACAGATAAAAATCTCGGAGACCGAAAAGGAATACTAATTAATAGCAGGCTACAAACTGCGCCGTAGCCTCCAAGAGCCAAAACACCCATATTGACTGAGTCACATCAGTGCTCAGTGATACGATCACCAGCAGCTGAGCGGGGTCCATTTTAAGTAATGGGTTTTCATTTCAGCTGACAGCAGAAAAAATGAGGTTGATGAATGTCATGCTCTTTTCATACAGAAATAAAACACATGCATTAGTTTGGTCATAGAGCTGGTAGATACTGTTTAAAGAGATCAAGGGTAACTACCCATCCTGGTTCTGGCAGGAAATCTCAACCTCGGGGATCCAAGCTGGAGCAAGGAGATCCAGGGAAACAACAGGAATTAAGTCAATAAAGGAGGTTGCAGAATGACTGATGCAAGGAGGAAGAAAATGACTAGAATATGAAATAACAGCAGGCAGAAGGCTGTGTGTGCTCAGCATGACTGACAACGGCTAGTTTCTAGGCAAAATCATTAGCCTCTATTTGATGAGTACTGCGAGCTCTTTAATTTTCTATCTGGCTCAGAGATTTTGCATCAGACAGTCTGGCTGAATAACCCTAAAACCTGGAAATATGAAATGGACTGCAAATCATTTTTTACACATGTTAATAATTGCATGCTGCAAAGGAAATACAGTAGGAATATGCCAGCTCAGTGAATGATGGCTGCAGCACCTCCAGAAAACCTCCTTCAGGGTGAGCGGTGCTACTTACGTGGGCCATGCAGGTGCTGCTCTGCCAGATAGTGGTGCCCACAGAAGCCATAGGCTTGTGCAGAGGGGTTGGGATGGGGCAAGTGCTGGCACCTGGGGTGCTGCTGAGGCTCAGGTCCAAAAAACTCTCTGGAGATCAGTGGTCCTGGGAGGTCCTGGGGGTTCACCATGGACACAAGTGGTAAGGGGAGCTCCAGGTGCCTGACACCCATGATGTCCTGGGACTGGGAGTTGTAACCCGTGTCCTCAGTTGCCAGCTCTGCTGGGAGTTTGTTTCCTGAAGACTGCTGTGACCACGAACTCCCTCTGTTGTTCTCCTCCAGCGAGTCCTCAGGAGCATCACTCAAGCTCTGCTCTGACTTACTGGAGTTGGTATCGGCTGAAAGCAGTGGTCCTGGCTGCATGCCTGATTTGTCCATAGTTAAAAGATGCATCTTGGAATGAACTACTTCCAGTATTGATTCACTGGGGGAACAGAAACGCCCACATTCATCGGGATTGGTATATTCCGACCACGGCCTGCTGTCCGGCTCCATGGCCAGCTGGTGATGTGCCAGTGCTCTGCAGAGATGTGCTGGATTGGCACGTGGTCTCTGGCACTCCTCATCTTCCACGTTCTCTACAGAAGGCTGTGAAGCCTCTTCCAGGGCAGGTTCAGGAAATGGGGAATACAACATGGATTCATCCACTTCCACTGGTATGCTACGGCTCACAAAAGTGCCTGAAAAAAACAGAGAAGAAACACTACAGATTGACCTCCAGAAAGACAAATGCCTATTATCAGTCACTGCTCAACGACTGTCAGTTGGAATACTGAAGAACAGTATGCATTCTTTGCATTCACATTAAGTTTTTCTTAGAAGAACGGGTAGAAATTTTGGCAAAGGAGTAAAGCAGAGGGTTAGCTGGAGTGCAGGTAGCACAGTGTTATAATTTGGACTAACCTGACACGGAGGCCATTTCCCAGTTCTGTAGTCACACAAGAAATGGGGGTCAACTGCCGTGCTGCAAGGTCAGAATTTTCCAGCAAACTGGAAAACAAGAGAAAGTACTCTCGTGAACATGGTACAGCTTCACAAAGGCAATAATCCCAAAATAACTCTATCTCAGAGACTGGAAAAGAAATACTGCTTAGATTTCTGGAAATTACATTTTGTAAAACAGACACTTTTATGGGATTTCTGAATCTTATTGCTCCTGCTGAGACAATGGGGGAAAAAAAAGCACATGAACTGTCTCCTGTAGGTAATTTCTGCACCTGAAAAAAGACAAGGCTGTGTGAGTATGGAGATTTGGCTCAGGCATATTCCAAGGAATTCAATCACGTGCCATATTTTACTTCAGACCTTCTAATAATAGCTTTGTACCGATCCCTTGGATCTGAACTTCACTGCACACCTAGCTGAGCTGAGCAATTTCAAACCTACAGCTGGCTTCCAAGCGTTGCTATTTATTTTATCAAACCAGTTAATCCATTCTATTATAACATGGTTATTATTTCAAATTATTGAGAATTATAAGACAATTTAGAGACTTTGGTTACTGTTGGGATTATTTTTTTCCCATTCTTCAGAATTACTTTGGGCTCCAGACATCAAAATCCTCCCTTCCCTTTGGGGATACTGCCAGTAAGTTTGGCCCAGCCAAACAGTCCCTAATGACAGATGCCTCTACTCCACCTTCTCTTAGAATGACAGCAGCAATGACAGGTGAGTGATGTGCTCTTGTTGTACTCACCCACTGGAACGAGAAGTACAAGCCTTACTGCAGGCTTACACACAGCATCCCATTTATGTTGAAACAGAACACTGCTGGACTTAAAAAAACCTTTGGAAAATGCAAGCATGGTTTCAGTTCTCTTCAGTGTTCTCTGTCCTACCCAGCCTGCTGGAATGCTCAGAAAGGGCTTTGTGACACTCTTGAAGTTCACAGGTGAACCAGCAAAAGCTTATGGTACAACATTCATTCACTATCAGTTTCCATATCTGTGTGCCACAGGGTATCACAGAGGAAAGAAGCTCAAGCAGATAGTCACTGAACACAAGCAGGAAGTGGAAAACACCCCTGGTCCTTCACCCTGAGCTAGAGGCAACCAAGGCCAAAGCACAGCATAGAAATGTGCTGATGCAGCTGTTCTGCTTCCCATACTCAAGCCCTTAATTCCCAGACTTTGGCACAGAAATAGATCAGCACTTTTGATATCAACATGCTGATTTCTGCAGCCATCTTCATCCTTTGGTATTGGGGTGAGATTAACTTGCTCCCACCAGATGCTATTCCCTGACATGGGGTACAGAGAAACAAGTCTGGGACTCATTACTCCAGCTGTTTTCCTTCTACCACATGGAAAAAGCCAAAATCCCAAGAAGGAGCATTACTGAAGAACGGTCCAAGCAATGGAAATGACAGTGTTTGACAAGAGAATCTGACTCAAAAGCCTGGTAAGGCAAGTCAAAATCATAGCACGTTTGAGGAGATCTTAGTGATTCAAGGATTCAGCTTCAGTCACACAGTAGCTTGAACAGAAAGTTCAAATGAAGAACATATTCAGACAGTCACAGCATTAAAAACAGTTGAACAGGGTCACAGAGAAGTATAAGGCAGCGTCCCAGCCTTTATCCTGACTCCTACAGCTATATCCTACAAAAGCAAAGAACGTGCCCAGTCCCACAGGGCAAGAGCAAGGCTTTTTGTTTGTGCTGATCAGATCAAGTGATGTGCGTTCCCCCCTCAAAGTACCTCTGGTATAGCAAACTCTCAGTGTAACATTTACTGGAAAGTAGGATAAAAATTGTGCTTTGCTGCTGCTGGGCTGCAATGTAAATACTCTTCCTCTGTGTAACATAAAACCCACCTATGCAGATCTACCACAGATTCCAGATACACAACCTACGCTGTAAGAACATCCACAGGGAGAGTTTTCCTGAGATAATTATAGCAGCATAATGCTGTTGGCAAATTTTCCCATGTAGACTAGCCCTCTGAGCAGCCATTAGCTCTCATGCTGCTGCTCTTACAGAAGGCAGGGTCTTGTGCTCAGCTGGCACAAATCATACTGCATACTCTTAATCCCTCATTGAGCAGCTCCAATGAGCTGGTTCCTCTTCAGAAAGGGCAAGCTCAGCTGCAGGCACCTGGGCATGGCTGCTCCCCTTCAGCAGCACGTGTTGTCTGAGCACTTTACCAGCAGGTAGAATTCTTCGCAAACACCCAAACATGGCACTTCAAGAACAAATCTGCAAGGTCTGATACACAATGGCATTTCTTCAATGTTGTCTGAAACAGCTAGATCGAAATGCTAGAAAACCCAATGAATCCACGTCCACTCTACCTAACAGCTGTTGGTTTAGTTCCATGAAAAGAAGAACGGATTTTCTACAGAGAAACCAAGAACTCAGTCCAAAGCATGGGGAAGTAAACAGGGGTCTCTTTCTTGACTTCAGCAGGCGACAGGATTTAAGAGTTACTGAATTCTTCTGGAGGATACAACCTTCCAACCTTCCTACCCATTATCAATGGGTATCTGCAAAATGGATTATGCGCAGACTATGAGAACCTAATGCAAGGCACAACAGGGGCAGGAAAAATGCAAAATTATTTTCAAGTTTTCATAGGGTGTATTGACTATTCCTTTCAGAAGAGGGAGATTAAGACCTAAGATACTAAGATATTCCACAATTACTGAGCTACCAAGCACTTCAAATGGCTCACTTCAGAACAGTTCAAGATGTTTTTCCTATTAGTTTGGCCCTCTAAAAGGACACATACCTCTTTATCACTTAAATCAATGCAATACTTAAATGACTGCCTTATCTCCTTCCTATGTAACATGCACTGAACATTATGAAAACTACCCCAAATACCTGAGCAAAAATAATTTGGTCAGACAGAAACGAGACTTTATTCCACCTGCTATATATTTCCCTGGAAAAGCTTTTAGCTTTTTAAATATTGTTTTGCTTAGCTCCTGCCACAGTGCAGCCGAGCAGCAAAGGCTGAGCTTTGACACCTCTGCAGTCCTACTCCTGTGGGCTTGAGGCAGAAGGCACTGAGGGGCCTTTGGTGTTAGAAGAGACAGATCAGTGCAAAGGAGGAGCAGTGACTTCACAAATCTCCTCCTCTCTCAATAGCTCTGCTTGGCAAGGAAGGATGTCAGAATAGCAGAGTTCTGTCTGTAGAGACAGCCCCTAGGGCAAGTTTACCCTGGGACATGCTGTATGCTTTGAGCAATGCTGGTAGTAGTATTTGGATGGGAATTCCCAGGAGAAATCCCCTCACTGCTGGAATTGATAGAGTAGAAACATTCCTCCTCTAACAACAGTGCTTCAGGACATTGGTTTTGCACTGCTGAAGATCTTTGGCTTCTGGAAAAAGACCCAACACTGAGCCCATTATCCCAGTATTTTATGTAGCCTCATGCACTGCAATTTCATTAGGTCTCCTCTGACTTTTTTGTAGGGCTTATCTTGCAAGTACAGTCAAGCAATGGACAGAAAAATAACTTGCTTAAGTCCCTAGTGTTGAAGAATTAGGGTAAACATACTAAAATATCCTAAGAAACCTGTAGCCTGATCCCTTTTCTGGCACCAAGAGCACTGAAGAATGTAGATCATGTGCAACCTCATTTCCAACAACACTGCAGCTTCAAGTCAGATCATGATATTGCCAGGAAGCTTCAAGAATTTAATATACCCCCTGCACCGATGACTATGCAGGAGATTACTGATAACCAGCTGGAGCTTTTGCTTATATTCCTGTTTGTAATAAAAAGAAGAGGCCCTTCCTAAAGGGATATAGTGGCCAAGCCTGGGCTGCTCTCAGAAATGCTAAGGGAACTCCTTAAATATCCATTTTCTTTCTCTTCCTTCCTCTCCTCATGCATGCAGTTCTTCAGCGTGCATCAAATAAGCAAAAAACTTCCTGGGTGGGTGCTCAGCGACCCACCAGACAGTGACCCCGGTTTGTGGGCAGAAATGCTGTCCTAGTTCTCCTGTGAGGTTTCCCAGACCCTGCGTTCTTCCATTTCTCAGAGAGGGAGCTGCTGGTGACATTCCACCAAATGCCTGGACATGCATGAGGCTGGTGACTGCCACCTCTGGACAGCTGCATAAATGGGAGGGGAACAGACTCTTCAGTGTGGACAGACCTAAGAACAACCCAAGTTGGAAGCAAGGGCCAAACTCCTCTAAGAGACATCTGAAAGAAGCAAGGGGCTGCCCAAAGAGACGAAGAGTGCTGGGTCTGGGCCCATCTCTGATGTTCACTTCTGTCTGGTTGCGAAATCCATCAGGCATCCCATTTATTCCCCAGACTCGTCAGGATGCACCATCCCAATGCATACATTAACCATCAATCTGCTTCTAATTAGAAAAGTTCTGACAGTGAATAAACAGAAGAGGAAATCTGCAACACAGTGTATCTGCACTCCTGCCACTTTCAGAGAGGAGGAAAGTCATCTCTAATCTTTTGATCAAAGATCTATTTGCATACACCAGTGAAAAAGAAAACATTTGGATGAGAAAGGAACCTCACCTTTCTTGGTGCACAGCAAGCAAGGGAAGGTTCTTTTATTCACCAACCATACTATTTCTGAAATAACATGGATTTAGATTAAGGCAAAGTTGTGATCACAAGGACTGGGGGTTGATGGGAACTTTTTCACTTCCAAACAATTCCTATGTACTTTGTCTGAATCATTCAAGCTCTCTGGTGCTGCAAATATCCATCTGTAAGATGGGAGTAATTGGATGCAGAACTTGCAAGCTGTCATGAGGATACACGCATCATCGAGATTGCAACCAATGCCGAGATGGGGTCACATAAGTCTAAGTGCGTAAGCAGATCATGTTAAGCACAGCTTTCTCTACAGAGATATCAGACTCAACTTTCCTCAGAAAAACAGAGACAAATCCTTTTAGGAAGAGCAAGCGTTATGTTTACATTAGGAGGGACTTCTTCACTCAGAGGGCAGTGAGGCACCAGCACAGGCTGCCCAGATAAGCTGTGGATGCCCCATTCCTGGAGGTGCTCAAGGCCAGGTAGGATGGGCCCTGGGCAGCTGAACTTGGGGGGGCAGCCCTGCCCACAGCAGGGGGTGGGACTGCGTGGGCTTTGAGGTTCCTTCCCACCCAAGTCATTCCAAGTGCAAATGTGGGAGCTGTTTTGAGTCTAACAACCTAAACAAACATAGCCAAGGGAAACCAAGCTTAGTAGCTGCACTTCACCACAAAGAATTTGAGCTGTTGTCATCATGGATGCTTACCCTCTCCCTGAGGGTACCTTCCACAGTTAAGACCAAAGCAACATGTCACATTCTTAGCCCACATTTTAAACTCCCTAGGGCAGGTAAGGTTTATTTTCACAACTTCTGAGAGAAGAAAAGTGATCTGGAAACAACATTTCTGTTCCATTCTGACTATGGTTGTAGCCATGGCATAAAAGGCTGCTTATACCAGGAAAACAAGACAATATGCTTCCACACCTCCCTGCCTGGCAAATATAATATTCTGTTTTGCAGCTCTAGCATCTCTACACCTCTCTGGGTATACACTCTGAAATGTGAATAAAAGGAACCCTAGACAACAAGAATTAACAAACTAAAAGTGCAACACTCTTAAAAAGCATGCAAGCAGGAACCTCAACTATAGGCAGAATTCCCTGCTAGTTTTCCAGTACTTATGAAATATGAAAATGGCTGCAATGATCTTAGACGTCTACTCACAGGCATTTTAAAAATGCATTTGCTTCCCAGAGATTATTTTCCACCTATTTCTGATGCTCATTAATTTTCCACAGGCACCAAATAACCCCCAAACTGGGATATCCCACAGCCCCACTACATCTGCAAAGCACAAAACCATTAGGCAAAAACTGGGGACAGCTGAGTGGAGTTGCATGGGAGGACCACCCGAGAGGAGCCAACCTCCTTGGGGGCCACGAAAGCCTATTTTCCTATAGCTTTGCACTTTTTGGGGAGCATCTAGTTCCTAACAAGGGAACATCTCCAGCATCTTGAAGGCTGACGTGCTTGCCCCAACCACTCTGCCCTCTGCAGCGTGGGCTGCCGGGTGCGTGGAGAACACTCAGGGACCTGACACGTCTCCCTCAGCTGCTGTGATAACAGCCTTTCACACGCTCGCTCATTTGCTCTGTGAAACGTGCAGAAATGTGTACATCTCACAGACATGCACCCTCTGCCAAACTTCAAAAGCCACTGCTGGTGGTGAGGGGCACTGACTGACACACATAATTGCACACATTTGTTTCCTTCCTTAAAAAGATTAGTGAAAAACAAAACAAAACAAAACAAAACACTTTTTTTTTTTTTTTTTTTTTTTTTTTTTTTTTTAAGTACTATATGCTTCAAAACATAGCTGGTGCTCAGCAGGACCTCAGAGTGTGAGGGCAGCACAGGCAACAGCACAGGCAGCAGAAGCTGCCCAACAGCTGACCCTGCTACACATGGCCCTCACAGCGTACACAGCCTGCGGCCAAGGGCAGCAAAGGGAAACTCAGAGCCTGTCTGAAATGGAAGAGGACATTCCTGAAGTGGTTTGCTAAAGAGAAACAAGCATTTAAAAACTGTCCTCAGTGAGGGATCAGGTGTCCCTGTGGGCATGGGTCCTGACCCAACACTCACCTTCACTCTGCCCACTGCAGTGCTAAACTGCTTCATCTCCTCGACCTGACACAGCCTCAGGCCATTTCCCAGGGATCTGCCCAGCAACGAGGTCACAGCTGTGCCCAACAGTAAGCGGTTGGGCATGCAGGGGGCTGTGGGGGCACACCTGGGATCTACCCACAGAACAACAGGCCTTCTGTCTCAAGGCAGTGGGGCTGCAGAGATGGACACACACGTGCAGTCGACAGCAGCATCCAGGCTGGGCCTCGAGCCTGCGTGGGGTGTGCAGGACAGGGCAGTTCTGGTCTCTCGGTGGTGGCTGAGGATCAGTAAGCCCAAACCTATGGTTCTCACTACTCAGCCCCACAAAACCCACATCCTGAAACAAACGGCTACTGTTTGAAATTAGAGTCATTTTTACACAGCTGATTGTACCGTAATTAAAAAGCAATGCCACACCGGCTCGCTCCCACCGTTTCCATACCAACACCGTGGAGGGCTGAGCAAGCTGGGCCCAGAAACCTGCTTTTTTCCTGCTCTCAGTGGGTCTGAGGGCCTGTCTGGCACTGCTGGGAGCTGCCCTGGCACCGAGGCCCAGGTCCCCATGGCCACCCCCAGCTCTGTGCCAGAGGGCATAAGCTGCGCTGGGCTCACACAGCCATGTAGGGAGGGAGCGGGATGGGACCTGGCGACAGGCACTGCCAGGCAGCTATGCAAATAGGCAGGACAGCATTTCAACACCAGGCGTGTCCCTTTCCAGCGCTTACCCCAAAACTCTCCTGATCAGAAAACAAAAAAAACAAACAACAAAAAAACAGACTGCAGTGAAATGGCTGAAACATGTTGTGACCATCTGTGAAAGTCAGCCTATCGTTAGAACGAGAGAGAAGGGGGAAAAAGGGAGGGAGAGAGACATTTGA